GGAGAGAATAACAGTAAATTGATAAAGTGAAATTGATATTAAAGAAGGAGAGTTTTCTTTTTCTTTTTTCCTCTCAAAGAAAAGGAACATGATCATGGTTCTATTTAAAATGTTGAAAAACTGGAAATAACCTAGAGGTTCTATAGGTTAAAATAGTTAAATGCTATATATACAATGTTTTATCATGTTTCTATCAGCATTAATAATGGACTGTATTGATACCTGTAAAGACACATTAAAAATGGTAAGTGAAAAAAACCCCACAAATTTATATCCACAGTGACAATTAACAAGAGAGATCTGTATAGCACTTTATAACAAAGAAATATATGTGTCTATTAATACAATTTTGAGAAGCTGACAAAGGGCAGACAGAATGAGAAGTAGAAAGTGACAAATGTGTTTTGGAAAGCATTGTTGGCCAGTTGGGTAAAGGAAAGAGTTAATTTGGAAGACTGGGATTAAAATATAAGAATAACAAAAAGCAGGTCAATGGGAGGACTCTGTACTATGTTAAATGTTCCAGAAGACAGTTAGGAATAAAACTCTGCCCTAGAAATGGAAATTTTCCCAAAGAAGTTGTAGAGCAGCACTTTCCCAAAGTGCTCTTTTACAAAATTGTTTATAAAGGTTACATATAATTAAAAGTGTTTGTAGTGAGGCAAATTTTGGAAATCCTAGGTTTCATAAAATTAACCAGATTCTTTTGTGTAGAACTTGTCAGCCCCATTAATAGAATAAACATTTTCCAGGTGAGTAGGGGTGGAGGAAGCACACCTCATTTCATAAAGCTACCTGCGACCCCAGAACTGTTTGGTTCTTGTGGGAATAGTGTTCTGCAGAATACACTTTGGGAAATGTATTGGAATGTTCCTGGAGGTGTCCATCAGCAAGCATGAGGGGTGCACATTGTGGTTCTCTGTGGGTAGGTAAGTAGTTTGAGGGGGTAATAGGTTAAAATATATCTTAGAGGACATATCCAAAGTGAAGGATGATCGCAAGTCTCAGCCATTACATTTTTTGCGTTTGAATAAAAATTTATGAAAATAAATTCTACAGCTAATCTAAAAGTAATCTTTGTTTTTAAAATCAGAATTATGCTGTATGGAGAAGTCAAACTTGAAAATCTGCATTTGATTTGGTTTTAATCTGCTGGGATTTAAGATAAGCCTATTATAAATTTGTAAGGATACAGCATGTAGCTCTTGGCTGGTTTGAAGGAACTGGCAGATGAATAATGGATGAAGGTTATATTTGTATTTAAGTGTAACCTGATGAAATTCTCTACATCTTCTCTCCCCCTCAGCACTCAGCCCCACTAGATTTCCTCCCCACTCCTCACTTTAATGTTGCCAACAAATGGCATGAGCATGACCAGGGCCATTTTCTGTCCTCAGTTCATTGGCCCTCTTTGCATCACCCAGCTGAGTTGTCTCCTCCTTCCCCTGGAAACACTCTCCTCCCTTGGCTTCTGTGATATTGCACTCCCCTGGTTTTGGCCCTTCTCTGTGGCACCTTCAGTTTGCTTTGCAGGTTCCTCTGCTGACTTCTGAATGTTTTATACCTGAGGGCTCGGTGTTGGATCCCCTCTTCCTCTTCTGTACTCTCTTCAGGTGATTTCCTTCAGACTTGTGACTGTCTACATACCCTCTGCGTGGTGATGACTCCAAATCTGTTTTCTGCAGCCAAAAACCAACCATTGTGCTCAAGCCACAGATATCTGCTTGCACTTAATGCCTCACAGATACCTCAAGCTTTGTGTCCAAAACCAAATTCTTGATAATCTATACTTCCTGATTTATTCTTCACTCTCTTCTGTCTGTGTTAATGGCACTACCATGCATCCAGAGTTTTCCTCTTCAGTCTCTAATTCTTCCACTTGTCTATTTACCCTGCCACCATCATCTCTAACTTGAATTCCTACAGTTTCCTCTTCCCTGATCTCCCCACTTTTGCACCCCTCTTCAGTCTTTTTTCTACATGACTGTGAGTTATCTTTTTGAAATCTAAATCTGACCATGACACCCATTTTAAATAAAGCTTTGTAATGGCCTCCCACTACACACTGAATTTAGAACAAAATCCACACTCCTTATCTTGGCCTTAAAGGGACCTTCACAGCCGGGTCCTTTCCCATTTCCTGCCTCATCTTGTACAGTATTCCCCTTGCTCACCGTGCTCCAGGCACACTGGCCTACTTTCAGTCCCTCAAACATGCCAAGCTCTTTCTTGAATTGGCCTTTCACATGCCGTAGCTTTTATTAGAGCAGCTTTCTGCCTGTCCTCTGCATGGCTGGCTCCCTCTCACGGTTCAGTCTTAGCTGTCATCTCCTTAGGGAGGCCTTCGCTGACTGTCCAGAGCAGGTTTATGCACCCACTGGCCCTGGCCTGGGGACTTGCACCACGGCTCTGTTACTCCAGAGCGCCAGTCACAGTTTATGTTTACCCACACTTGATTGTAAACTCCTGAAGGCTGAGACTGTGTTTGTTTATTCACCAGTGTATGATCAGTATTTAGCATGGAGTAAAGTACCCTATAAAATGTTTTACTGAATCAAATAAAACAACGCAAGTGACTGAATTCTGAGCTAAAAACATCTCCAAATGTAAAGGGTTTATTTTTCTATGTAACTTTCTTTATTGTATTCTGAGTATATTGAATATGTATTTGTCCATAGCGGTGAGCCTAGAGTAGTGTACTTATCGATTGTTTCATTCAACAAATATTGATGGAGCACAGTGCTAGTGAAGAGATGAATGATATATGAGGTAAATGATAAATAGGCCTTTGTCTAAGAGCTCATAATCAAGTAGGGAAAACGGATAAGTAAACAAATAACTGTAATATAGTCCATTAGGTGCTACAATTAAGGCTTGTACTAGATTCATCAGGAGCACCAAATATGGGTATTTTTCGAGGCGTGCCTCCGAAGGGCTATGACATGGGCTGGGTCTTGAAATACAGCCAGGTGCACTAGGCAAGTCAGGTGGGAGTGGGATTTCATACTGAGGCACAGTATTACAATGGTAGAGACACGTTGAAACAGCAAAGTGCCCCTTGATACCCAAATCTATTAGGTTCCTGTTTCTGATAGGAAACATTAAGAGGTTGGATAGCAATACAGCTCAAAAAAAAAAACTTTATCCAAATCTAGTCAGTTTCTGAGTTTGAGTAGGGAGGGTTGGGGTGTGGCTATAAAGAAGAATAGCCATGGGAGACATCAGGGTCTGAGGGTAAAGATGTGGTTGGACAGAATCCAGGTAGAGAAGGCACCCTGTGCTGGGCTAAGGGCTGGGCTTTGGAGAGCCACTGAAAGGTTTTAAGCAGTAGCCACATGATTAGTGTTTCAGAAAAGTCATTCTGGTATGGTGTAGCGGAGCAGTTTGAGGGATATGGGACTGGAGGCAGACAGGCAAGTGTAGAAGCTAAAGAGTTGCTAGATGAGAGATAAGGAGGGAATGAAATAGACAACTGGCAGAGGGAGAGGAGGGAGCAGATTCAAGAGATTTGAAAAACACTCTTCGGTGGGAAGAGGGAAGATGATTTCTAGATTTCTGCTGGTTTGCAGAACTAGGTAGATGGAATTGTTCACTGATTTAGAAGGAACTGGTCAGGAGCACGTTTTAAGAGGAAAGATGATCTCTTGAAATTTCTGTATTTGAAGTAATGTTAGGATACATATTCATGATAAATATTAGATGAATAAGATAGATAAGTATTCATGATAAGTATTAGAGATCCAGTCACGGTATATGTAGCAGATAACATGCAAGTAGTTACGACTCAGGGGAAGACATGCAGAGGGAGAAAGACAGCCAAGGATAGAAGCCTGGGGAACATACATTAAGGAGATGTTAGTGAAAGAGAAGTCTCTACAAATATGACCAAGAAGGAATAGTCAGAGAGGTGAGAAGACAACAGTGCTGACTTTCAAAGAGAAGGAAGTAACTCAGAGATGTCATCTGCCAGAGGGACCACCATGTTAATAATAGGAAAGTAATGGTCTTTCCAACATAAGCTAATTAGTTTTCACAACTACAGACTATACTCCCGGTCCTGGCTAGTTGTTTTGAAAATAGTTGATCTTAGTCAAAGAAGGGGAAGGGATCAATGGATATGTGGTTGGATCCATTCAAATTGATCCCTGCCTCTGGAAAGTCAATTCAGTACACCAGTGTATTGGGAGGGCAGTATATTTTCATGTAAATTAATGTACTATCTTTCTTTATTATATACCATACAGTGAAATTGTAAAGCACTATATTTGTTTGATGCAATTTTATTACCTATCACACAGTGAACACACTGATAGTTTAAAGGTAGCATGCTTTTAATGTACTGTCTAGTAGCATAGACATGATAGTTAAAGGAAGATGTGTCGTCTAGAGAAGGCAGATATCATTGGTACAGTCCCAGTTCAGTACCTAGTCCTTAGCATTGATCAGGCTATGGGGATGCACTCAAGTTAACCCAACTCATAAGATACTAGCTTACAAAAAAAACAGAATGCCAATTAAAAAAATTACAATGAAACATATAACTAAGCAGACAAGCTATTCATGCTTGTTATCTCTGTGGGAAAACTGTATACAAGAGTTGACATAAGCAGAAGGCTGTTTGGTAAACGTGGGATCTCAGTAGGGGCAATTAGCTGAATAATCTTATTTTTTGAAGGTGGAAGAAGAAAATTTGCTCGTGTACTATATTCAGAGTCCTGGTCTGGGTTCTATAAATAAAACTTAGCTGTCACTGAGGGCCTATGATGAGGAGGTGGTGTGTAGGGTACAGAGACAAGTAAGTGTCTACACTAAAGGACCTAACCATCTAGTTGAGGACAAGTGCATTCCCTAAGCCTAATGACAAAGAACTGACATTATTTCTTCCACTAAGGGAACTGGCATGAGGGATTGGTAATGCTTTGTGTTGGTACATGTTATTTAGTGCAAATTGTTTTTGAAATGCATTGGAAAGCTCTAATAATTTTTCTTTCAACCTGCAGGTTCTCCTGCAAAGCAAATTGAACGTTCATCCATGAATCAAGAAAACAGCACTGCAAACCCTATCAAGAATAGAAAAGTAAGTCCTGTATCTAAAGACCACCGGACAGGAAAGAAAGCCTCAGAGAATTCATCAGTACAGGGTCAAGTGCAAAAGGGGAATGATGAATCTGAAAGTGATTTTGAATCTGATCCTCCTTCTCCTAAGAGCAGTGAAGAGGAAGAGCAGGAGGATGAAGAAGTTCTTCAGGGAGAACAAGGAGATTTTAATGATGATGATACGGAACCGGAAAATCTGGGTCATAGGCCTCTCCTCATGGATTCTGAAGATGAGGAAGAAGAAGAGAAACATAGCTCTGATTCTGATTATGAGCAGGCCAAAGCAAAGTACAGCGACGTGAGCCCTGTCTACAGAGACAAGCCTGGCAGTGGACCAATCCAAGATCCCAATATCGCACTCCTCACCCCAACCCAATTACCCTCTGATGTTGGAGTGGAGACTCCCAAACAGGAGTTTGATGTATTTGGTGCCGTCCCCTTCTTTGCAGTGCGTGCTCAACAGCCCCAACAAGGAGAGAATGAAAAGAATCTCTTTCAGCAGACCCATTTTCCTACTGTGGGACTAGAGCAAGAGGAATTTGATGTATTCACAAAGGCACCCTTTAGCAAGAAGGTGAATGTACAAGACTGCCGTGCAGTGGAGCTTGAAGCACATACTCTCCCTGGTTGTCCCAAAAGTGTAGATATATTTGGCTCCACTCCATTTCAGCCCTTTCCCACATCAGCAAGTAAAAGTGGCAGCAATGAGGACCTTTTTGGGCTTGTGCCCTTTGAGGAAATAACTGGGAGCCAGCAGCAGAAAGTTAAACAGCGTAGCTTACAGAAATTGTCTTCTCGCCAAAGGCGCACCAAGCAGGATATGTCCAAAAGTAATGGGAAACGGCATCACGGCACGCCAACTAGCACAAAGAAGACTGTGAAGCCCACCTACCGCACTCCAGAGAGGGCTCGCAGGCACAAAAAAGTGGGCCGCCGAGACTCGCAGAGCAGCAATGAATTTTTAACCATCTCAGACTCCAAGGAGAACATTAGTGTTGCTCTGACTGATGGGAAAGACAGAGGGAATGTCCTGCAACCCGAGGAGAGTCTGTTGGACCCCTTTGGTGCCAAGCCCTTCCATCCTCCAGACCTGCCATGGCACCCTTCACATCAGGGCCTGAGCGACATCCGTGCTGAGCACAATCCTGTCCTGCCTGGGCGGCCAAGACCGAATTCACTACATGGGTCATTCCACAGTGCAGATGCGTTGAAAATGGATGATTTTGGTGCCGTGCCCTTTACAGAACTTGTGGTGCAAAGCATCACTTCACATCAGTCCCAACAGTCCCAATCAGTTGAATTAGACCCATTTGGTGCTGCTCCATTTCCTTCTAAACAGTAGATACTTCTGATGGACTCTTAGCGTTAACTCCTGTTTCAAAAAAGTATGAATAATTTTATGAATTTGAAAGAAAATTTATTTGTATAGCTCTTTATATCATTCATTCTTACAGGTCAATCAGAATAGGTGATTTTTAAATAAACCAAATGGAAAAGGAAGTATCTCCACAGGGTAGTGACCTGCTATCTCTTCCACACGGGAGAAAATGGAGCTGAATTGCAAGCTCTAAGCCAGGGTTTCAGCTACTGACATGACTGCACAGAAATCCGGGAAGAGCACATGGCCCCTTTCCAGTTGTGTAGCCACCGAAAAGGGACTGGAAAGCTGCGTCGTGGTTTTTATAACAGAACGTCACTTTTGTGTGCATATCCCAGGCTCATTCCAGAATCCAGCATCTAAGACTAAGCTTATTTGTACATACACAGGTTGCATTTGTGGATTTTTTAAGGTCTCTTCTAATTTCCACCACGTTAAAAAAAATCTAGTTCTGATCAAGAATTAGAAAGTTATTCTCTGGAGAGCACAGAGGTTTTAGTCCTTAGACCGTTGTCTACAGAGCAGAGCCAGAAGTAACTGACTATCGTGCCTAAAGCTGTTCCATTTTAAAAAACAAGTGCCATTAATGTGGAATATCTACATAGAAGCCTAGAACAAAACCTAAGACAAATATCTGATGTGTGGAAAATACAAAAGAAAAAAAAAAGAAGAGAAAAAAACAGTACTTTAGAAACACTTTATATTGTTTTTGAATGGCTTCATGCTGAAAACTTTTATTATCATTGTCCCTAATAAAGCAGATTATTGGAAAAATTGGGAGTGAGGACAAGGGTTACATAGAAATTTTATTTCAGGAAAAAGATATGTAGCTGAAACCCTGAGTTTTTAAGACGTTTACAATGTGAAATCATGTTGCATTTAATAATGTACTTTATTAAATTACCACCTTCACTAAATATTCCCCAACAACTTTTTAGCTAGGTTTGGAGGGTGGAGTAGGTTTAATAAAGTGCACAGAGCAATGAAACCCACAAAGCCTTATAGGCAGGACTCACGCATCCTGCTGCAAGTACCTCTGCACTAACATAAGATCTTAAAGTGGCTGGAAGGTGTTAGATGATGAGGGACTAGCATCTTAACTCTGCTAGTCGACTGTGTCTTCAGTGAAAAGAACCCAGCTACCAAATTGCCTTTTTTTACACCACAAATCCTAATTAGAAACTTGAGATTTTATAGAAATTGTTTAATAAGATAGAAATTACATATATGAATTAATGTGAATACAGTATCTGTGCTTCCTGTGTCTCCAACTATTTTAAGTTATAATTAACTGTCCTTCCCTATCAAATTGACATGTAGAAGTTTGTAGAACTGTTAAAGCTATTTACAAAAAGGGGTGGAAACTCTTATCAACTGGCACTCTCCTTGATGGCTATATTTTAAATTAACTCTGAACCCAATTAAAGTGTATTGTATGAGTAATCGTATGAGAATCTCTTAATTATAGTGCCCCAACTGGGACGAGCTGTTTGCTTGTCTTCATAGTTCTAAACTTGGAAAGAAGGAAAGTATATGTAACTAAACCATATATTCACTTTTTATTGCTTCTCTTTTCTCTTTTATGTTTGAAATCAGATACAAATTTGTGAACAGGGAAGCAATATGTGAATCACAGTGTAGCAGAGGCAGACCAAGCATTACAGTACTGCTTAAGAGCTATACTTTTAGAGCCCGACTGCACCAATTACCTGTCCTTGTGCCAAAGGCAAATATTATGTTTGCACCTTTTTTTTTTCTGATTCTCAGGTTAATACTGCTAATGCAAATGCTCAAGTAGATGTTCTTTAAAACTTTACAAAATAGATTCAAGTGATACTTTCTTTTAAAAGTGAAGAGTTGATTACACCTAGTAAATTCATGAACTACAGTAGGTTTGTATCAAACAGAATTTTTTTTTTAATGAAAATCTCTTGGTTGACATGTACACAGTATGCTTCTTTGACTATTTTAGTCCTTGGCCTTGGTCTCTGCTAGACCTCATGGGTTCCATAATTTAGAAGGGGTAGTGGATGAATTAGTGTGCTCTCCTTGGGATGGATACATGAAATTCCTAGAGTCTATCTGATACCAAGTCCTCGCTTATACTTTCTTTTCAATACATTGAATAATTTTAAATGATTTAGACACTGATGTAGACACTTGGGCTTACAATACTGGATAAATTCTAAGGAAACAACTTTGACATCGTTTAAAATATTTACATTCTTATGTTTATTACATCACAGCCCCGTGACTTTCCTCTTTTGAGATTATAACTCAGAGGAAACATTTAGGATTCAATAGGGGACCCAATGGGACAGAAATGAGGAGATGCCTTTGTGCTGAAATAGAGGCATTTTCCCAAGGAGGACGTGATTTAGAGTTGCTTTCCGTTTTCCATCATCTCCTCCCACTACTGTTAGGATGGAGGTCACTCCACACAGCTGATGCCCATATGAGAATTATGAGAATAAAGCTCCCAAGGCATGTGAAAGAGCTTAACACAGCTTAATACTTGGCACACAGCACTCAGTAAAAGTATGGCTCTATTATGGGATGGTCCAATTCCTGTTTAAGGAAGGAATGTTGAAAAGTTATTTTCTTATTATTAATCAGGTGTCCTCTGTGCTGCTTTAGCATGTAAAGTAGTCATAACTCTAAACCTGTAATACTTGAACATCACTAAGGAAAGTAAAATATTATGAAGCTAGCAAAAATCTGAGGCCAAAGTTATTTCTGTCCTAACAGCTTTAATAATGCTTGTTGATTTTGAATAATCTTTTCAAAAGTGGACCATTTGCTTAATTATTTTAGTATTATCACTTCAGCAAAAATGTTGGTGTTAAAAAGATCAGCTTTTATAGCATTGAAGAATGTATCTGTTAAGACCCGAAAGTTGCTTGGTACATATATTAGGTAGAGGAGGAAAGGCTGTAGGCTGGATGAAAATTTGACTAGAAAGTGAGTTCAGAAGCGATTAAGCAGTATGGATTGGGAAATAGTGTAATTCTTCCACTGACCCGCCCCTTCCCTGTGTGTGTATTTGGGCACAGTTATGACATTATTTGGAATTGTAGATAGATGCACCTTCTACCTTGTTTATTGTTTAACAGTGACAGATTGTTGTCCTCATCTTGCTAGTGGAAAATACTAAGATGGAGCCCACTCTTCTACTCTCGATGTTCATCAGGCAGAGCAGATTTCCTACTGTTCAGCTACTCTGCTTGGTTTATTTTAGGTTTTGGTACTTCACATAAGCATTGCTAGAAGGTACATGTGTATTAATATCGCTAGTTCTGAGGAGTTTGGGTACATTTGTTTTCATATATGTAGAATCTGCAGTAAACTTTTTCTTCTCCTTTCTTTTTAGCAAAATTACTCAACATTTTAGGTCCAGTATTGAGCTGACAGATCTACTGTGAGAATGAGATGACATATCTACTGTGAGAATAACATAAATGATAGTTTATTTGAAAACTTTTATACATACTTGTGTTTATATGTTAAGATAAATATATAAACACACACATGCATGCACATATCACATCTCTTTACTGCAGAGTTAATGTGAATTTTTAAATTTTAAATGGAATTGCAACCACAATCATTACTAAAAGAACATTCACTCCTAGTGAAGGTTTACAAAAGCCACTAAAAGAATAAGGTAGACAGATGAAAATGCAAAGGGTCATCATTTGGGGTTATTTTTATTTAAAAATTTATTGTGCTACTTTTGAAAGAGAATTGTTTTTATTACTATGTTCTTTTTGTGATTGAAAAGTCATCTAATAGTAACCAGTATAGTAATAGTAAGCTACTTTTTAATTGCTGGCAAACAGCTTTAAGTGCACTTTCTTTGATTACACTTCCATTTTTTGTTAAACTTGAATTTTCTGAAGCCTTTTATGTACCACTAAGCAAATAACTTTTAATAAACCTGATTTACATCTTTATTATATTTCTAAGTGTTATAAAACATACTTTCTGAAGTAACTTCAATCCTCAGATATAGCTGGGAAACTGTTGAGATAGAATCAGTTGCTTTTGTTTTTCTTCTTTTATCTAATTAAGCACTAAGTGATTTTACTACTTTATTGCCTTTACATTGCTTATTCTTATTGACTGAATTCTGTCCTTCATTCACTTTGTTTTGTTTGAAATTTAAAGTTATTTTCTTACTGTATTTATCATACCTACTGTTTTAATAATCTGCTTTCTTTAAATGCAATAAATCCCAAATGGATTGCATATTCTTTATAATCAGTGAGTTCGGAGTTTTTCATTATTTGTCTCATTAAAAGTTTTGGATGTAAACTTCTGTTCAGTTCTTTCGTTCACACCAAAGACTTTAAGCATCTATTATGCACCAGCCAGTGGAATAGAAAAATGAATAAGATTAGATCTTTCTTCTTAAGAAGCTCAAAGTTTAGGATGTAAGTAAGAAAACCCATTTTGACCTAGCATTTTTGCAACAACAACACTTAATAGCACAGTTTGTTCACGTACTACAGTTACTGATACTTATAACGATGAAGGTAAGGCAAAAACATAAGACTTTGAAGTAACTTTTGAACGTTTGGCATAGTTTTTGCATTATGTATAATTTATTTTTTAAACTCTTTAAAAACTGGTAACAGAACTGTTAAAAAATAGTTGCATAAATATTATAATCCTTGATTATGTCAGAAAAGAAGCTTTGGCATGTTAAAGAGAAAACCCATTTATTGGATTGATAGACTAAGTTTAGCATCAAGATTACAATGTTTTATCTTATGAATTATTCCACAAACTGGAGTGTTAGATTGTTGGCTTGTGGAGAGATTCATCTTACTTGTTATGAATGAACTTTTTTTTTGAAGTAGTAACATTTATCTAAAGTTTTGTGGAAAAATAAGGGCTTTTAATAAATAGTACAAACAAAATATCACAAATGATTAGAAAAGTTATATGAAAACAGAACAGTGTGGAATGTGCCACTGTTCAAATTCAGTTAGTTAACTTCTTTAGAGAAGAATAGATGCTGCAATTAGAGCTACTGATTTGAAAAGCAAATCCCTTTTTAAGGAAGTCCAGCTCTAGCATCACAGGTAAGGTGTCATTAATATTCTCATAGCGAAGGCATGAGCTTTTGAAGTTTTATTTGTTGCACATTTAAAGAGATAGTTCACTTTTGCTTCAGATGGTTGGCACTACTGAAATTACATGTACATTCTGTAGTGTTTTTCATCCCAGACTTATAGAGCAGGACTAGAACCTTGGCAGTTATCATTCCTACCCTTGAAGGATGGAAGTTTTACTTTTCACAAGACCCCTAATGCCATAACCTCTCCCTTCTGAAAATGTTTTCTCAAAGGCAGTTTCAGTTTTGGATCATTATCTTGCTACCCTCCCTCAGGAAGTATGGTACAGAATTTCAGGAGACCTGAGTACTCAATAGCATCTGTACCTCTTTTCAAGATAAACACAGTTACTGTGACAATGCATGTAAAAGACACTTCTGCCCCTCCCCCAACAGCTGAGCTGATTCTGCACCTCACACACCTGGCTGAGGTGGAATTACTGGGGCTGATGGTTTCGGGAGGATACGGGCCTACTGGACCTACTCAGCTCAGCAACCGGCAGGAATCCAGAAGTGCAGCCTTTGCCTCTTGACATTTAACACTGGGCAAAGGTCATCTCTAGGAAGGTACCTGCCAAATGGAGAGTTGTACAGCTTATGCCAGTCAATCACAATCTTCAGCCCGGTTACTCTGTCCACGTGGGATGCCATAAGATGTGACAGATATTCCCTGAATCTTCATTCCTGATTCTAAAACATGATGTTGAAGCTGTTATGTATTATAAAGAATGACAAGCAGCACTTAATGTACGTAGTAAACCCAGTTTATTTACAGAATACGTATTCTGCCATGCAGCTTACCGAATTGCACTCCGTGTAATAACAAAAAAGACAAGCACTATCTTGCTATTTGAAAATGGCTTTATATAGAAAAAGATAATTGTCTCTTCAACGAGTTAACTACAACCTTATAAGTCCCTATAGACAATTTAAAACAGCCATGGATAATTTTAAAACGTACTTGTAAAGTCTGTAGGTAAACAGCTTTCATCGTTTACACATTTGTAAAATTAAACCCAGTCTTGTTAGTACTGTAGCTGAATAATGTACTTTTAATCTTATTTTAATAAATCTATAAAACAAAAATAAATATACATTATTATAAGGCTCAGATTTGTAGGCAATTTTTAAATAGTTATTCTTTCATGT